GGGGAGAAAAGAAAAATAAGGGAGAGGGGGAGAGAGAGATAGGGAAGGGGAGAGCGAGAGTGATACAGATAAATGAGTGGATATATGAGAGAGAGAGAGAAAAGGGGGAGAGAGGGGAAGATAGAGAGAGGCGGAGACAGGGAGAAAGAGGGGAAGAAAGAGATTGATAGAGAGAAAGGAGTAAGGATAGAGATAACGCTTAAGAGAGAGAGAGAGAGAGAGGAGGGAAAGGGAGAGAGAGAGGCGAGAGAGAGAGAGAGAGAGAGAGAGAGAGAGAGAGAGGAGGGAAAGGGAGAGAGAGAGAGAGTAAAACCGAGAGAAAGAGAGAGAGAGAGAGAGAGAGAGAGAGAGAGAGAGAGAGAAAGAGAAAAAAAGAGAGAGAAAAACAAAAAAAAAAAGAAACGAAGAGAAAATCAGGAATAAAACGCAAAAAATACAAAAAAAAAAAAAACAAAGAAAGACACCCCCTCTCCCCCTCCCCTCTCCCCCCCCCCAAAAAAAAAAAGAAAAAAAAAGAAAATAATTAAAACCCAATCAATCCACCATATGCCAAGCACTCTATTTTCCCTTCACCACTTACTTTCACCTATTTTCCCTCGCTTATTCCCTTATTTATCACTCTAATCTGCATATAATGATTCTTTACATTTTCTTTTTAACGACTTGGAAGAAACGGACTTCAGAAGAAAAATCCAAGGCATGATACTGAGTCTTAGTTCTGAGCCTCTATAAATCATCTGTCTTTCTGAGGCTCCGTTTCTCTCCTTGGCCTTTCTCTCTTTCTTTCTCTTTCTCTCTCTGTCTCTGTCTCTCTCTGTCTTTCTCTGTCTGTCTGTCTCTGTCTCTCTCTCTGTCTCTCTCTCTTCTGTTGTCTTCTCTCTTTCTCTGCTGTCTCTTTTTTCTGAGCTCCGTTTCTCTCCTTGGCTTTCTCTCTCTCTCTCTCTCTTTGTCCTGTCTGTCTCTGTCTCTGTTTCTCTTTTTCTTTCTTTCTCTCTCTCTCTTTCTCTCCTTGGCCTTTCTCTCTTTCCTCTCTCTCTCTCTCTCTCTTCTCGTCTCTGTCTCTCTTTTTCTTTCTCTTCTCTTGTATGTCTCTCTCTCTCTCCTCTCTCTCTCTGTCTTCTTCTCTCGCTGGCCTTTCTCTCTCTTCTCTCTCTTCGCCTCTCTCTTCTCTCTCCTGTCTGTCTGTCTCTCTCTCTCTCCCTTCTCTCTTTCTCTCTCTCGCTCTTTCTCTCTCTCCTTCTCTCTCTCTCATCTCTCTCT